GGGTGCCGAGGCCGCTAAGCAATGCAGTCCCTGCTCGGCGGCGGCACAAAGCTCGTCGGGGCCCGCGGCTCTGCCCTACGGCTACTTCGGCAGCGGCTACTACCCTTGCGCCCGCATGGGCCCGCACCCCAACGCCATCAAATCGTGCGCGCAGCCCGCCTCGGCCGCTGCCGCCTTCGCCGACAAGTACATGGACACCGCGGGCCCGGCGGCCGAGGAGTTCAGCTCCCGCGCCAAGGAGTTTGCCTTCTACCACCAGGGCTACGCAGCCGGGCCTTATCACCATCACCAGCCGGTGCCCGGCTACCTGGATATGCCGGTGGTCCCGGGGCTCGGGGGCCCTGGCGAGTCGCGCCACGAGCCCCTGGGGCTTCCCATGGAAAGCTACCAGCCCTGGGCGCTGCCCAACGGCTGGAACGGCCAAATGTACTGCCCCAAAGAACAGACGCAGCCTCCCCACCTCTGGAAGTCCACTCTACCCGGTAAATGGCGCCCCCTTTCCAGCCCCGGCCTTCTGGCTCTTCTCCTGCTTCTCCTGGGCTCGCCCCCCCCCCCCCCCGCACTCTCCCTGGCCTGGCCGGCCCTAGCAATTTTTGAACCCCTGGGAGTCTGAGCCGGGCTGGCTGGCGCTGTCCGCCCTATCCTAAGTTGAGCTGGCCCCTGGCCCTCCTTCAGTGAGGGGTGACTGGGAGGGAGCTTGTGGGTTTCAACTCGGGCAGCCCCATTCTCCCTGTGTGCCCCACCCTACCAAGCCCTTGACACTGACTCCAAGATGAGAAATTGACTTGATCTCGAGCTCACCACATTGCCCCTGATAGTTCTCTCAAAAAAAAAATGGTTTCGTTGGAGAAGCTTAGAATGTTAGGATTTGGGGCAAGTTGAGAGCCAGGCTCGACAGAAGTGTTGTGCCCTGTTGAGTGCTAAGGTGTGGACCGCTGGGTCAGCGCAGTACATGGAGGATAACCCGATTGGGGTGCTCATTGGAACTCTGGGCGATTCCATTTCAATACACAACTAACCATGCCACCTACTAATGCTCCAGGCTTTGGCAGAAGACCGGATTGTGCAGAGCGCGTGGCATAGAGCAACCAGGCATAGCTAGTAGGGCCGGGAGCTCAGACTGAGCTGTCGCCTGTGTCCTGGCTCTGGTGGGCTCCCAGTGTAACTTGCCTTCTCTCTTATCTTACAGACGTCGTCTCCCATCCTTCAGATGCCGGCTCCTACAGGAGGGGGAGGAAGAAACGGGTGCCTTACACTAAGGTGCAGTTGAAAGAACTCGAACGGGAATACGCTACCAACAAATTCATTACCAAGGACAAACGGAGGAGGATATCAGCCACGACGAACCTTTCTGAGAGGCAGGTCACAATCTGGTTCCAGAACAGGAGGGTCAAAGAGAAAAAAGTCATCAATAAGCTGAAGACCACTAGTTAATGGATTAAAAGGTGGAGCCGAGGGCAGCTTGAAGAAACACCTAAGGACTCACTTCTTTGCCCAGGTGATAATAACGCTTAATAATAACAGAAGAATGGAAAGAGAGACACTGACGTTTTGCTCTCCTAAGGGGAATCTCTTTCTCTTCAATGGAATCTACAGTTTGAAAAACAAAAACAAAAGCCTTGAGAAATGGTAGAGACAACCCCTGGAGATGGTTAAATGACAAACTCTAGAGTCAACTCCTCAGCCCCTAAAACACACAATTTCAGATAAATTACGAATTTACTCAAATCTTGTAAGTATTTATGTGACCATTGTGTTTTAGGATACTGTGTTAGGTGGTAATAATCTGAAAACTGGTTACAGAAACAAAAGTCTATTTCAACATCCGCTTGTCCAGCATCATCCCCTTTGCATGTTAAGTGCCTGCTCAGGTAAAACCTTACTGAAATTCCTACCCATATACGTTCTGAAAGAAGTGTCTCATGGATAGGCTTAGAGGGGAAAAAACTGAAATGTTGATCTTGAACTATTGCTAAAAAGGGAGAAAGGAGAGAATGCTCATCCAAGGATTGATTGTTATGGTAGTAAATGCGGCCAACTAAACCCTTGAGGCTGCAAGGGAACTCTGGGTGGGTAACGAACTTCTGGAAATATCTTTCAATTACTTGCAGCAAGCATGTTGGTGGCATTTGGACTAACCCAGTGTCAGAGATTTTCTCACGGGATCTGTTGTAATTTTTAAAGTGTTTAAAACTCACCAGATGATTCGAAAGATTCACTTTACGCCCCATCTCCCGGAAGGTCCCACCCTAATATGGATTTCTCCTGAAATATACTCTCTTTTTTTTTTAACTTATTTAAATTTGCATTTTCAATACTTGTTAAACATTTTGCTAGAGACATCATTTTCCTTCTTTTAACTTTGAAAAAAAAAAGCTCAAATCGGAAACCTGCTCTCTCAAAATATTTAAATGTCTACATTCTATATTTTAATCTGCTAAAGGATTAGTATTTTTCCTTGTTTATCGTGTTATGAGACCGCATTAGAAAGTCTAGGGATTCATCGTCACAGCACATTTTTAATTAAGCAGTAATTTCAGTTCACACATTCGTTTTGTCCATATTCACTTTAAATGCTATCTTGTAAATAAAGACATTCAGCACACTGTGAAAATGTATTTGTGCACCTGCTTTCTAAATACTTCTACTAAAATTGAAAAATTAGATCTGTAGATAGTGGTATTAATTATGTTAATAAAATAATCACTGCCATTAAAATCTGAAGGAAACACTTGAGTTACTTTTCTATGCTGAACTTGCACTGCACAAAAAAAAACCGAGCAGGTTCCTCTTATACAAGCCAAAGACCATTCTTTCCTATTCTTATTCAGTGTTTTTAATACATTTTTTTATGAGAAGGGAAAGATCTCGCATAATAAAAATTCTACAAATGAAAATGTTCCAAGGAGATGCAAGTGTCAGGTATTCTGAAAGGCAGAGGAAAGAAAGGAGGAACGAGAGAGTGTACGTTCCCGTTCCCAGGCTCCCTGTGGAAAAGGAAAACCAGTTGTTGAGTAGCGCCTAGACAATCGTATTTTAAAATCTGTCTTGGGTCTGTTTGTGACTGAAAGGACAGGTTTGGGTATTTGCTGAAATGACAGGAGTAGGAAAGGCCTTAAACCTTGACCTTGAGGAAAAAGGACAATTTGTGACCTTGACTTTTGACAGCTCGTGAGTTGGCTTCAGTCAGATCAGTAGATCAAGAGCGCCACCTAGTGTTGACAAGCCTTCTTGTAATTCTGCTTCAGGGAATCAAGCTCTCTTACCCCTTTGACTTGTAGAGATTGGATACTCATAATTTTTTTTGCTCTAAAGGGAGATTTGAATATATGTAAATGATACATATGCTTGTATATATGTGAATATATAATATATGTTTATACGTGTATACATTTGAATATCGGTGTTTGTGTGCCTGTGTATATAATTGTAGAATTTGTACAGATAGAGTATTTTTAACTGCTAATGACTGAAGACACTGGAATTTAAGGTGAATTCTAGAGTTAAGGTACAAAATGCTCTTTATGTGGTGAAAATTTGCTTCCTTTCTTTAATGGTCAACTTTAATTCGTCCTCATAGCGGCTTGCTCTGCATCAGATTTCTGCGGATTTGTTTTAAAGCTGTCCATGTCTGTTACAGTCCAAGAGGTGTTCTTAAATAACCGTGCTTTCCTGGCCCTCGCCCTCCAAGGTGGTCTGTGGCCTTAATTAGAACTATCTGGGAATCTTTACGGCAAATAAAAAGTCCACATACCTTCCTAACTCTAGAGTTCTAGAGTTACATTTCAGAAATTCAAAGAAATCCGCCTCTTTGAGAAGTCAGTAGAACTTAAATATCTCAAAAAGTGGTCAGAATGCGGATGCACAAGGAAAATTATCCTCGACTGCTCTCAGCTGGGCATTGCTCCAGGGTGGTGTGCAATCTTATATTGATGCTTGCAAATCTACCATTTGATTTGTGGGAGACATAAATATACTTAATATTAACAGCCACCATCAAAATTATATTAACAATCAGTATTATAGCTACTGCTATTGACCCCCTAACAACACAAGCGATGTGTTCAGAGTCATAAATAATACATTTCATGTTTATGTATTTAATATACACATAGGGGTGTGTGTGTATAAAGTCCATTCTATGCACACGTGTATTAAAATGTCGATGGAATGTGGAGCTTTGGGATTTGGATTTTCAGGTGCAGGTTCATTTTATTTTTATGTTAGAGGAAAATAATAGCGCATGGGAGGACTGGATTCATCATTTGGTGAAAAGTGATATTGACCAGTTACAATCCCAGATGATGGAAACATCTCCAGCCTCGCCTGAAGACTGAGAGCTTCTTTATATCTTTATAGATGAGGAACTATGGAAAGAATATAAAGCTGCTTCAACAAAGGATGCTCCCGGAACGCACACCTCAGATGATCTTGTTAAGTGCCATCATGTTTTGCTGCCCTGAGGATTTTCAACCATTTGTGGAACCGCATGAAAACACAGCTTCAGACCCACCGCCCTGCACCTTCTGTTATAGCCCCGTTTGCAAGTGAACTACCATCAAGCAAAGTTAACGATGTCTCCAAAATGTTTAAAGTGTTGGAAATTCCCCTCCGAGTTGGATCAAACACTGTTTATGAACTGCTCCGACGGGGACTCTTCTGTTGAAGGGAGACGTTTTTCTTTAGATGTAAGAAATATTCTGAGCCTAAGGGGCCTAGGAAAGAGGCCAACAGCAGCTCTGCAGATGGAATACTGCCCCTTTTGAAAGCCGGCACTACTGCAGGAGTCCTGGGTAAAGTATCTCTCTCTCTCTCTCTCTCTCTCTCCCACAGAAGATGACAGGGTGCCCCTCCTTTTAGTTCTGAACTGGTTGTTGATAGCAGCACTCTCACCTAACACCCTTCTTATTTAAAATAGGCATGGATTTACCAGATTAGTCGAGGTGGTTATGGGTTATAATAGCTTCTCAAAGTTTTTTTTAATATTATTATTAGTATCATTATCATTCGGTTTTTGTTTTGTCTTGTTTTGTTTTTTGAGGCATGGGGTTTCTCTGTTCTGGAACTCACTCACTCTGTAGACCAGACTGGCCTGGAACTCAGAAATTCACCTGCCTCTGTCTCCCGAATGCTGGAATTAAAGAAGTCCCGCTACTATGCCTGCCTGGAGACAGCTCAGTTTTTAAATAGCAACCAGCCTAAAACCTTTAGAACAAAGGCCGTCAGGAGAACATTGGCCTCCTTCTGAAAGCAATAGGAATAATGACAGACACTGATCCATGAATAATGATGTTGAAAACCTCATTTAAGTTTTTTTTTTCCAAAAAGGAAACTTCCTGAATAAAAAATTATAAATATGGGACTTGAAAAAACCCGACCTTTTCCATCTGCTCCTAATACTGTCAGATTTATTAAGTAACTTTAAGTGGACGATTGTAAAACGTCACTGTGGACTTCACTAAGTATTTATGCCTAATGCCGAGCTGAAGCCAATTCCTTTTTTAAATTAACGTAAGATTTTAAAAAACAAACAAACTTAGAGACAAAGGAAGAGAATGTTCATTTGAAAATACTCAGCCTAGTTTAATGTTCTGTTAGAGATTAACCCGAAGGCAGGAAAATTCAGCCGAGGATGATGTATTTGTGTGCGAGTAATAGCCAGATAGTAGATTCGTAGACTATTCGATGCTGCGTGTTTGGGTGGATGAAGATGCAGTGGCTCGCTTCCTCTCTGTGAAGTCCCCGGGGCAAGGGGAAGGTTGCCCAGGACTACTAATCCCCTGATGGGGGTTCAGAGGCGCCCTTCTGGGCTTGTGCACCTCGACTGAAGAGTCCGCTGGGGTGGGGGGGATAGCTGATTTATGCGCATTCCTTTAAACTTGATCGAATGCGTGTCAGCAGCCCAAGACCTGGAGAATCAGAGAAATGTGCCCGCATCCCATTTTTCATAAGCAAAAGATGCGGCCTTATCCAAAAGGCCTGGCGAGATTTATGCCTGCCTGGGTTTTAGACAGGCACGCTAATTAAGTTTTCATCTGCTTGGCCGCCGGGTAAATAAAATCTGGCTTCGTTCTTTATGAAAATGACTACCCAGTCCTCACGCGTCTACCTAGAGCTGATGAATGCCTGAGATGTGCCTGCTATTTGCAATGTTTTTCATAAAAGAAAGTGATGCTTGCACAGAAAAAATCCGTGAAAGCAGCCACGGCCTTGTCACAGTCGATTTCGTTTCTGTACGGGTCTGCGGCAGACGGCAGAGCTGGATTCACCCGGCAGAAGGAATTCCACCGGTATCTAAGATCTTCACATTTCTGTGAGCCGTCGGGAGGCGCGAAGCCTGACCAGGTGCAAGGGTGTGGGCGAGTGAGAACAGAGTGTCCGTGGACTTAGATGGCTGCCGAGTGTCGAGCCTGTTGGGGACAGGCGCTGCCCCAAACCTCCTGCCCTGGCCTAGGACACCACTGCTCAAGACGGAGGCCCGAACCTTGCCTGAGCCCACCCGGCTCCGACGGCCTGAGAGCCGCAGGCAGAAGAATCACGGCTCCGCGGCCGAGGTCACCGTGGTGGGACTAACTAGCAGCCCGTGCCGCGTGGACACAGGAGGGCCGAGGACACGCGCGATGAGCCACCCCGAGTTGCAGGCTGACGTCACCACAGGCCTCGCAGGCCTCGCCTGGCTCCAGGAGCTGTTTGCTGAGGACGAGGACAGGCGACCGAGGTTTTGTGAGGGTGCCCCCTTCTCCGCCCCGCCCCTCCGTCCCCAGGAGAATAATCGGGTATTTAATCTCTCCTGGTCTTAATTCTTGGCAGCGTGGAAGGTGGTTTTGCAACGGGAAATAAAACTTGACAGGAGCATTTTCTCGAAAAGGGGTTTTGAGACGGGCTGAAAAGAAATCGTGTTTTGCTGTCCCCAGCACTTCCGCCCTGGAAGCCCGGAGCTGAGTGCGGGAGGAACCCTGGGGAGCCGCGCGCGAGCTCCACCTGGGCTGGGAAGCAGCCTCGGGCCGCTCGGTCCCCCGAGCATCCGCCGCCTAAAGCCTGAAGACAGGACCGGGGCGCACCGGAGCTCAGCACGTCCGGGCCTGGCTGGCACTGAGTGACACCCAGGCGCTGGACGGGGCCGGCTGGGGACCTGCGAGAGGTGAGGGCCTTGGGAAGCCAGCTTAGCGCTGACTTCTGCCCTCGAGGGGCGGGGGGGGGGGGCCGCGCGAGGGAGGTGGTGAAAGCCGCGCTTGGGGCTTTGTTTCCTGGCCGCGAGCCTGTGGTCCAGCACTTTCGAAATGCAAGGCGGAATGGGGGTGAGCGGCCTGGCCTGAGTGGATTGTCTGGGGCTGCTATTGGGTGGCCGAAGCTGGAGACAGCGGAGTCCTTCTCCCGCTCCTTCCAGCTCTTCACCCCGTAAAGGTCAAGTCCTCGGCGCCACCGCCTTCTTCACGGTCAGGGCCGCCTGAGAAAGCAGCCCGCCACGATTACAGAAAAGCACGGGCTAGGTAATTGGCCAGGCCTTCACTCTTGCTGCAAGCGGATCCTGGCCCTGGTAGCCTGAGCTTTCGCACTGAGGCAAGATTCTTCTTAATTTTAATTTCCCTTTCTCCCCATCCTCCTTTGAAAGGAGTCTTTGAAGCTGGGGATAGTCCAAGCTATGCCTTCATCCTGGAAGGGCAGAAATTGCCCCAGGACGGGTGATTTCCGTGTCCGCGGAGGCCTAACCAGGACGAGAGCGAGCATGTACGCGCCCAGGAGAACGAACCGGGCTGAAGGGAAGTTCTGGTCGGATAGGAACAGTGAGCGGTTCAGCCGGTCTGGCGGCTGGGAATCCGATATGGAAATAAAGATTCTGCTGGGTTCCTCCAGTCCAAACTCAGGGTTTTTCAGGTCTTTGGTGAGACCCTTCGTGCCCTTGCTGCCTAAGGCTACTTGAAAGGAGGTAGACTATGCCAATGTAAAACCCTTTGGCTCCTGCCCCTCCCGCCACCCCCTCCCCGCCCCATTGTGCTCCTCAGGACAGAGAATTCTTCTAGGAAAGCCTGCAGCAGGTCAGTGCGTCAGGCCCAGCAGTAAACACATAGCTTAAGGCTGGTTGGTCACTCAGCCTGTCCCCCAAAGAGAACCAAAAGAGACCTGCAAAGTATCTTTTTATTTTTTCAAAATACAAGAAAGCTGGGCCTTTGGCCTAGAGCTGTGGCAAGGAGCTACATCAGGAAGAGTAGCATGGAATAGGTGCCCGGGAAGAGGGCCTGCCAGGCAAGGTGAAAGGAAGAGGCTCCCAGTGCAGGGCTCCTAGTGCTGGCCTCCACAGAAGTGGAAGTGGAGCCATTCTAGGAGACAATTGTAATTTAGGGTCTTAGGATGCCTTCAGATCCTCACCCGGAAGACCAGAGCCAACCTTCTGGATATGTTACACGTCTCTGTCTTTACTGCCAACACACTCAGCCCAGGAAACCCCGTTTGGGCCGAACTGCTGCTGCAAGGAAGGGGAATGAATAGAAGGTGGATATTGAGAACCAGACTTTCACCCTTCAAAGTTTTCCTCACCCCACTCGCTCCCACTCTATAGGAAAGAATAAATAAAATCTCTAATGAGTTGGTACCATAAAAATAAAAATAGTTCACAAAATGAACCCTCCCTTCTCCCATCAGCTCGAGACTCACTAAACTAAACGATAACCAGATTGTTTGGGCAATTGAGACCCTCAACTGAGCTTTGTGGTACACCCTCCAGGGACCAGAAGAAGGATGTGGGCTTCCTCACATGTTTAGGGCCACTGGATAGTGACTGGATCCACTAGTCAGGCTAAGAACCAACTGTGAGGTCAAGTTCAAGGTGTTACCTATTCTCTTGCTTTAGAGAACAAGTAGAGAGGGTTGGTACCTAGACAAACATACAAATTAACCCGTCTCCACCTGGTAGTGATTAGAGTGGTCCCTCGATATTTTGCCTGAGTATAATGTGACGGGTTGGCCATAATCTGCCATACTTTGGAAACAAATACTTGAAGATCTTTGGGCCATTCCATGCAATCCATCTCCATCTTAGTTCACCATGGGAAAAAAAAAACACTCCAAAGACACCTCCCTCTTTGTAGGAGAGGGTGCCTATATGGTGGTCCGGCTCCAGCCACTGGGAAGGGTTTGTGGCTGTTTCACCAAATCCCCTCATTGGCCGACTCCCACACCCATGGAAAAGATGGCCACCAGATCAGTACTAGCTTTCAGTTTAGCTGTATAAACACAATGCAATGTTTTGAAACGGAGGGAAGTAAGGCTCATGCAAGCAACAAAAGGTGAAATATTTGTGGTGTTTTAATCAATCCACTGAACAGCAATTGAGGAAATTGAGAGTAAGACCTGGTCAGTCTAGTGGGTCCACCTCATCCCGGGCTCCTGTAATTACTTAGAATAAAGAAGGTGATGGGCTCAGAAAAGGAGCAAGGGTCCCTGGGGGAAGAAAGAAGGGAGGAGGTTGTGCTTGGAATGTAGTACTCATTGAATGAGGGAAAGAAATCCCTGTCAGGTCTCTCTCTGTTGGAGGTCAAAATGAGGAAAGTCAGAAACTTAATAGACCCCTTTCTCTAAACCTGCCTAGTAGGTTTCTTCTGGGGCACTTCAACACCTCAGCTCCTGCTCAAACAAGGGGAAGCAATAGAAAGGGCAGGAGAAAGCCTGAGGAAGTCAAGCTGAGAAGAGGCAAACAGACCAGCAGGAACTGCCTGGGGACAAGAAAAACTTGAGGGGGGAATGGCGAGTGGGGGTAGCTTGGTTGAACATTTACACTATGGATACCATGCTCAGCCTTCCAAGGAACTGCCATGGGGGTTTCAGATCCCCTGAGTTAGGGATATCTGGCCACTGCTGCCTCCCAAGCTCTACAACCAGGGAAGGCAGTAGCCTTACAGCCTTTCAGGGTGACTCTAGGAAGCCCAGAGTCTAGGAGTGCACTCTGGTTGTCCACTTCTGTTCTCCCTTGAAGTGGCATAGTACTATGTAGTAGCCTATCAAGTGACAGAGCTTGCTGCTCTAGTCTCTTGTATTGGAAACACCCCTGGCACAGCCGCCCTGATGATGACAAGGCCTTACATGACCTTTCTACAAAATGATCCTTCCAAAGCCATAGACAGCCTAGGCAGCTTCCCGGAGCGCTGTTCTACTACTGACCCATACATCTCCAACCGCAAGGAATAGTAGATTCAGCAGAAGCACCTGGACACACTTTATTTCTGGTATTCTACCTCGAGAAGGAGAGTGGAGCGAATGGTGCCTGAATCGCCCTCCTCCGTTCATGATGCATTTAAGCCCGACCAAGCCCGACGGAAGGAAAACAGCAGCCTTTGTGGATATCAATACAACCCCCACCCTTTCGGGACACAATCAGAAGAAACCTCCAAAAGGCTTGGTAGGTGTGTTTTGCTGATCAAGTTTCCTTCTTAGCCTTTCAGTTCGACAAGGTTAACTTGTTGGCTACCTCCAATCTCTGGGCCGAGAGCCTTGGCTAAGCGCTAAGGGGGTCTGCCTAGACCTTGAAGTTCGGAAAAACAAGAGGAGATTGAACCGGCTCCCTCCCTTCTTTAGAGACACACGCACCGTCAGGCCGCGGCCACTTCCTGCCTTTGTTTTTCTTCCTCCAAACATTTTTGGCCTCTTGCATTAGCCGCCGTAGGGCTCCGGGTTGACGATTAAAGGAAATAAACGTTGAGGAGTGTTTTCTGGAGACGGCCCGCTCGCTGTGGAGTTCTTGAGAAAGAACAGCTCCTGCTAAACCAATGTCCAGGGCCAATGTCACAGCCTTGCCGGCAGCCGCCTCTTCTAGGAATGGAACTCGGACTTGGCCTTCCGGTGTGGTCTTATACCTAGCCCGGTCTTTCCCAGAGTCTGGTGGGCTCAGATCGACCTTCGGCCTCCTGCAAAGCCGAAGAGTCAGTTAGGCTCAGAGCTAAGTCAAAACTAAGGACCCGCAGAACCACCTTCCTTTCTTTCCCCAGATTGGGTCGGAACCTCAGAGCAGCTCCGGCCTTGTACCCTGATGCCTGCCTGAAGAATACTCACTCTACCAGGTTCAAGCAGGACAGGACCAGGCGAAGCGGCTTCTATTGAGCAGCCTTGGGGGTCTGAGCATCCCATCTCTTGTCTCTGCTTATAGAACTAAACAGCAATCGGCAGCTCCAGAGCTCCAGGCCATTTCCCTTCTGTTGCCATCAAAAGCCCTTTTTTCATCCGTCTTCACCGCAGCGCCCCCACACGCTCCCTTCGAGGATGCAAATCCCTCCGGGCACCCCTCTTCTCTACTGTCTGTCTAATTGCTCTGACAATCACCTTCGTGGAGCACCTTCTTCACCCACAGCCTTTTCTGGGGAATTTGCCGTGTCTCCAGCAAACACCCATGGGCTACCTACCTGCCGGCTCTCCCTCACAGCTAGCTAGCCCTCCCTCGATGAGAACCTAGGGAGTAGTGGCTGTGCGGAACACTGCACGGTGTCACACCGACCTTTCCGCAGGTACCCCTTCTCCCTGGCATCTGGAAAAGTCGAGCTAATTATGAGAAAAGCTGCCATGTAGCCAGGGGAAGCGGCCTTGCATCCCCCGTGGCTGGGCCACCTCGGGCCCCTCTGCTCAGGCACAAGCTGAAGTTGACTGCCAAAACTGCTATAAAAACCGCAGGTCTGTCTAGAACTGCTTTCGGTTCTCCCAGACGCCCCCGGGTTCAATTATGGTCTTAAAAGCCCTAATACAAGTGCAAGAATTTGTTTGCCTTCACCCAGGGGCGGGGCGAGCCCTGCAATGGTGGCGCCTTTGTTATGGCAAAGTCACTGAAACCCTTCACGCATTCCTTTTGTTCGAGGGTAGGGGTGGTGAGGACTGGGTGGGCTGCTGGGCAAAAGTTTGAGGTAGCAAAAATCAACCCAGGGAACCGCTCAGATTCTGCTGCTCACAAGTTCACCTCCCTTGTATATAGCCTTCAAAAAGATGTTGTGAAGAGATAAATATTTTGCCTCCTTGGCGACTGCAGGAAATAGAAGGTTTTTTTCTTTTTTTGCTGCAGGACCATCCTGTAGTTTTGATCCCCAGCTTTAGAAGGCCCGAAGCTACCCTTCCCCAACAACCTTTCTCCCTGCTAGATCTCCTCACCCACACCCCTGCAATCATCTAGGAAGCCACAGTGGACAAATATGTCAAGCTGAAGATGCACAAATAATTTCAAGTTCAGCTCTCAGGGATTCAAGGGGCATGAAAGTTCCCGCAACAAATCCTGAATAAAGAGTTCATTAAACCAATGTGTCCAAGGAGCTTGATTTGTGATAAGCAAACCTTGTAAAAAAAAGGGGGGGCTAGAGCCACATAAACATTAATGCTAATAAATTAGTTTACTCCACTACACAGTAATTACTTGATATTATTGATATTTACAGTGGGCATTCCAATGCAATGGTGGGTCATTATTTGGAGAAAATACATAATGAGAATAGTTCTTTTCCAGAGCAATACATGATTAAATTTGTTATTGAGTCAGTTACAGGCAGCTCAGCAATAAATAAATAAATCGATGTTGACACTGAAATACCAAAGATCTTAGTGTTTATACTCCAAATCTCCCCAAGATATGTAAATACCTCTGGCCGCTTCCTGGATGGGGAAAGGGGAAAAGGTTTTCACTTTTGACTTTGGTGACAGCCTAGCTCCTTCTAAGGGAGTTGTGGAGAGCCCCCAGGTCTGGGTCCCCTCCCTGCTTTGACCATGCCTAGCTGCCCTGTGCCCTCTCTTTTCTTTCATTTTCCCCAAACACTTCTTTGGTCTTGCAGAATGGCAAGCATTATTTTGTCTTCTTAATCTCCATTTCCTCCTCTGAAGAGAGCTAAGTTTATCCGAGCGGTTATGGCTTCTTAAGCATTATCTATCTGTACACCAAGCTTAGCTTTTTCAAGACATCTCTGTGGCCCAAGGTGCAGGCAGCTAGGAGAACACCTCTCTTTTCTTTGGCATCTTGCTTCTCCTATGGACTACATAGCAAGAAGGATGAGAACTGTCTGGGTGTTTTTTTTTTTTTTTTTTCCTTTGGAATACCCTTTGCTTTCACTCTTAGGCTTTGCAAGGAAGAAGAGGCGGATTAGTCCTCTCTTAGCCCGGGAACCTTGGGGCATTACTCCCTCTTTGCCACCCTCCATTTCCCTCACAGTTCTGAAGAGATGCAAGCAGCCTAGTGGGTCCCCCAAAGGTGCAGCATACCCAGGAGAAGGCTCCTCGGATGTCAGCGCCTCTAAAACAGCCCAAGGTTCGCCTCAATTGCATGGTTTCCGATTCGTCAGCTTCAGGAGACAGAACAGCTTGCGGACCGGTGAGCAGAAGCGCAGTCCCAGCGCCTCTGGCTCTGCGGAGTCACTCCGAACCCCTACAGGCAGCGAGGAGAAGGGGGTTCCTCCAAAGGCAGGGTGTGGGGTGAAGAAGTAGGCAAAAAGATACGGGGAAGGTGGAACCCGGGTAAGGCGAAGGCCCTTCCGGACCGCGCAGATTATTGACAAACCGCGGAGGAAAGCTGCTCTGCCTGTTAGCGGTTTGGGGACGGAAGGCACTAAAGCGCTTCGGAAGTGACCATGAATGAGAGCGTGTAATCAAGTCACCGTGCAAATCGGACAAGCCACGAGGCCGGCACATCCACGGCTGCAAAGCCTGGCCCCAAATGGGGGTTCAACCAGGGTCTGAGACTGAGGTGTTTCCCAGAGCAAGCTTGTGAGAGGGGGGGCTGCGAAGAAGGAGGTGGCGAACGTAAGCCTTCGAATAACAGGCTTCGAGACCTGGAGCCACACAGTTCCGGGCTTTCACCTGGCCATCCCCAGCCCAGAGCATCCCTCACCCACCGGGGTGTTGGGGGAGGCGTCGGGAGTTGCGCTCTCTCTCAGCCCTCAGCGCACCCGTGGACCAGGACCATGTAGTTGAGCAATGGAGAGCTGCTTGGGGGCGCACCCCAGCCTTTCTGCGCGCGGGGAGGCCCCCCAGCCAACATGAGTTACACCGGCGATTACGTGCTTTCGGTGAGAACACCGAGTGACGATCTGTTGCTTCCCCTGAGGTGGCTACAAAGAAAGGAAGCCGGGAGGGAGGGGAGGGGGAAAAAAGGAAAGGGAGGGGGTTTAAAAAAAAAAAAAAGCCGGGACTAGCTCGCAGCTTGTCAATTTCAACATCGGGTCACATGACCAGCACCTCCCTGCTAAGGATGGGGATAGATTTCCACGTCAGCTTACGTCTCCAAATTTCTACTTCACGGATCCGCTTCAAAGAGGCAGCTGCAGTGGAGAATCATGTTAAGCTCGGCTACTGCGGAGAGCCCAAGGTAGCCCAATGATGGATTTTGATGAGCGTGGTCCCTGCTCCTCTAACATGTATTTGCCAAGTTGTACTTACTACGTCTCGGGTCCAGATTTTTCCAGCCTCCCTTCTTTTTTGCCCCAGACCCCGTCTTCGCGCCCAATGACATACTCCTACTCCTCCAACCTGCCCCAAGTCCAACCCGTGCGCGAAGTGACCTTCAGAGAGTACGCCATTGAGCCCGCCACTAAATGGCACCCCCGCGGCAATCTGGCCCACTGCTACTCCGCGGAGGAGCTCGTGCACAGAGACTGTCTGCAGGCGCCCAGCGCGGCCGGCGTGCCTGGCGACGTGCTGGCCAAGAGCTCGGCCAACGTCTACCACCACCCCACCCCCGCCGTCTCGTCCAATTTCTATAGCACGGTGGGCAGGAACGGTGTTCTGCCACAGGCTTTTGACCAGTTTTTCGAGACGGCCTACGGCACCCCGGAAAACCTCGCCTCCTCCGACTACCCCGGGGACAAGAGCGCCGAGAAAGGGCCCCCAGCGGCAGCTGCGACCTCCGCTGCGGCGGTGGCTGCGGCGGCCACGGGCGCGCCGGCAACTTCAAGTTCGGACGGCGGCGGCGGCGGCTGTCGGGAGGCGGCGGCGGAGGAGAAGGAGCGGCGGCGGCGACCCGAGAGCAGCAGCAGCCCCGAGTCGTCTTCCGGCCACACTGAGGACAAGGCCGGCAGCTCCGGTGCGTATAAAGGCAGCAGCGCCCAGCGCTTTATGAAAGGGGAGTTGGGAATCTAGCGCAGCACCGCTGTTAAATTTTTATATGCTGTTTTATAAGCATATAAGGTTTATGAAGGGCCTTTAGGTTTCCCCCAACAAAACTTTGTTATAAAAGGAGGGATCACGTGGCGAGTGCTGAAATTGGCCGTGAAATACCCACCGGCCAAAGCACGCTTGGAAAAAAAAAATACAACTCCCCTTTTTCCTCTTTTCCCTTCTCAGCTCCCAAACCCAACAGCATGATCCCGCTCGAGGCCAGCTCCAGGCTGGGGAGCCGGAGGTGGGCGCCTGTAAATTCCCCCTACAAGGGCTTCAGGAGCCTTTGATAGCGAGGTAATCCGGAGATTTTTATAAAAGCCATGTGTTGCGGCGGGACTCCAGTCCCGGCTGGGATTCAAAGGCATCGCTGTTTAACGATGGCGCTAGAAGCGCATTTAACAGATAAAGTAGCCCGCTTAGCTCGAGCAATATATTAAAAGAAACAAATTAACCTAAAGTTGGCCTTTTTGTCCAAAGGAAGCCATTTTCCTTTGGCGCGGTGGCAATTACGTGCCTCCGTTCTGTTATTCACAGTTGTTATTAAATCAGTCAAAAGCAACCTGGTTTTTTCTTTTTGTCTTTGTTGTTGTTTTTAAGGTGGGGGTGAACAACTGGCTCCTGCCTGAGGGTTAAGGAAGCCTCTCTGCTTTCGACCCTCCCTAAAATAGCATCCCTGCCCTGCTGAGGGCCTTCTGGCTGTGTGGTAGCAGTAAGTGCAGTGTGAAGGTCCGGGGTAAGGAGTTTCCTCTGCCGCCTCCCACCTCGAGAGACCTGGGAGGCTGACGGAAGATGCAGGAGTTCTTGATCAGGAGTCAGGCTGACAAAGACCCTGCAGCCGCCCCAGATGTTAAGAAGGGCTAAATCACGGCTGCAACCGGGAAAGCCTGGGGCCAGGATGCATGCCTTTACTGCCTCAGGAACAGGCGGCCCAGGTTCTGAAGGTGAAATGTCTTCGGGCGGCTATTTGTTTAGTCTGGCCGGGCAAGGCACAGCCCGCAACCCCCCACTTGCCTGCTTTCAAAGCGGTTTAGCCAGCGCAAACTCGCCTGTTGCTGTGGGAAGCCCTCCTTTTTGCTCAGGGGGCAGCCTGAGTCCTTTCCCTGGGGGCCTATCTAGGGAGCTGGCTTTTATCTGAAGCCGGATCCGACTGCAGCTTGTCCCTGGCCAGCAATAGCAGCCTGAAGGCAAGGGCCTGGAAAGACTTTGAAGGGGCCTGGACTGGGCCTCCAGACCCAGTGACTAGACCTTCTTCTCCACTGGGGGTCCTGAGGCAAGTTGCATCCCCTATTCCCTGCTCACTCCTGCCTCTTTCCCTCCTTAGGTGGCCAACGCACCCGCAAAAAGCGCTGCCCTTACACCAAGTATCAGATCCGAGAGCTGGAGCGAGAGTTCTTCTTCAGCGTCTACATCAACAAAGAGAAGCGCCTGCAATTGTCCCGCATGCTCAACCTCACCGATCGTCAAGTCAAAATCTGGTTTCAGAACAGAAGAATGAAGGAAAAAAAGATGAACAGAGACCGGTTACAGTACTACTCCGCTAATCCACTTCTCTAAGGCTCCAGCCTCCTGGAATTGGGAGGGGGGCTTCACACACGTGAAATAATATGCAGATTTTGCCCTTGACAAGGTCAAGCCACACAGTGACTTGGAAAAAAAGGGGGGGTGATGTAGGAGAGAGGGGGAGGCTTCCACTGCAGAGATAGCCCAATAGGAAAGGGCCTGAAAACTCTTGGTTCAGATCTCAATGGTTAAGCTTCCTATTAATAATTGGATTCTAAGAGTTGTGAATCAACAGGATGAATGGTTTGGGACCCCTGGAGGTTCACTCTTAGAGCCTGCAAAAGCTTTGGGCTGGGTGTGGTCACTGGGAATTGGGCCCCCTGCCAAACCCCTTGGAGGCCACCCCTTCAGGACCCTCTGAATAGAGCCTGCCCACCCCCAGAACTCCTAAGTAAGAAGTTGTATGCTCTCCAGGTCTAGGTCAGCTTGGGGATAGGGTAGGAGGAGAGGGAAGGGTTCCTAGCTATCCAGAATGGGGTTGCTTTCCAAAAGTAATGTGAAAGAAATTTGTACTAAAAGGTGTCTGTGAAATGGGAGGAAGCTGGGGATCCTGGAAGAAAGAGAGTTCTGTCCAGGTGATATTGATATCTTTCCATCCCTCCTGGCTACCCATTGTTCTGCACCCAGGCCTGAACTCCTAATGGTCACCTCCTGCATCTCACCTGGGTTTTCTGCCTCCCAATGGTGGTGATGGGTTTTCCCCTCAAGCCCAGAGTTTGTAGAAGACATTGAAAAATCCAGAGGCTATGCTGGCTGCTGGTCCCTCAATCTCTGCAGGAAATGCCTGTGGACTGCTAGAGTTTGGCAAAGCCTCCATGACATTTAGGAAGCTTGGATTCAGTTGGTGTCAGGCAGCAGAGCAGCAGGCCTGGCCAGTGGGGCCTTGGCTTTGGCTATAAGGGCCTGAAGTCTCCCTGCTCCGAAATCCTCCATTCCTACGCTGCACTCTGCTCTCATTGACTCAGAACTGAGCTTGGAAGCTTCTGGCAATCTTCGAAGAGCCGGAGAGTGATTTGGAAATATTTTAAAAGATAAATATTATATTATATATATATTTCCCCGAAGGAACCAAAGCGAATTTTAAGATGCAATGTAGAGGGGGGCGGGGATAATAAAAATATTTAAAGGCTCTATCTGTTTACAGTGTTCCATGGTTAAACTCGCTCACTGCTAAAAATATTTGAATGTATGCTTCATACAGGGATGGTGTTCAAAAGACTTGTAAATAAAGAAACCATAACCTAATGTGTTTCAATTCTCTTCTTCCTCCCAGCCCCACCCCCAATTAGTTGATTTCTTTGAGGATGCTGAAGAGAATGAGAAGGATGTTGAAGATGGTCTTTTTATTCTTTTACAATATTGTAACATTTGGAAAGTGTTGGCATGCCTAGAGCTAGCCTACCAAGACCTGAGCACTTCCTCTGGGGAGCCAGGTGCTCTCCAAGTGAATCTCTTCTGCCTCCCTGTGTTGAGAAGTCCCTGGTGGTTCTGTCTGTAATGAGTGCCTTCAGCCGGTTCTTATCCACCCTATATTTTCTCTATGTCTTAACCTGCACATAGACAACAGAGCACATGGGAAATGAAGAGGATAGAAATGTGGGTATGTGGTCCTGGTGTGACATTTCTCTCCCTGTTTGCCTTTTCCTGCCAAATGTCTCCCCTCAGCTAACATCCTTTTACCAGTAAATGGGACGAGTTTCCAGGCCCCTGAGGGGTGTGTGCAGAGATGGTAGAATCAGTATTGAGCTCCAACAGAAGCGAAGCATAGGAAGCCTGGCCTATATGTCCACAAGGAAAGCAGCATCTTAGGGATGGGATATGTCAGGGCCTAGTATGTGAGACTTCGCTCCCTCCAACTGACTTCAGCCCTAGAGAAGGCTTTGGGGGCCTACAATGGCCAATGGCCTGACCCAGTCTAACCTCGCCCACCTCAGGACTGAGTTGAGCCTTTCTGAGTATGCCCTGTGGATCCCTTCAGCAGTAGAGACTAGGTATCATGGCAGAAGGGAATCCCGGGAACCTCTGGGGTTTCCTGTCCAGCTCCAGCTCCCTCTCCGTTCCTTTGGGCAAAGAAAGATGCGAGCTTGCTCTTTGTTTGCTGCCTTTGAACTTCTGCCTTAAATTTGGACATCACCCATAACCTTGAGGGCATGGCTGAAAGGGACAGAACCTTTTGTTGCCCACCCCACCCTCTCTCCAGCCACCCAGGCTGAGGCAAAGCAGCAGAGAGGGGCTCATTTGAAGAGAGTCCTTAGGCTTCAGACTCTCCTCTGTTTATTTGTTTGTGTGTTTGTCTAACTGGCGCAACGGGAGAAAGCCAGCTGAAAGGGGAGAGGGACAGACCCCTAGATGAATGTCTAGGTTGATAGACAGACACACTGAGAAGAACAAGGACCCTCCTGGGGGGCTAAGGGGGCGGGCAGGGAAGCCCGGTTTAGGAAAAGACTTCCTTTGGGATGGTTAAAGATTAACCAAAGTCTCTCAAGTTGCTAGAGAGAGTCTAGCCAGAAGAACTGCTTGCAGGCGGGCGGCGGGCGGGCGCGGGTTTGATTTCTGAGCCCTATAAAAGCCCATCCTCCGATGGCTGTGACAATGTGGTCGTAAACCCGTCCCGGGCCGGCCAATTTGCATATTTGGAATGCGCCGCTATAAACCCGGCTGGGGTTTTGCAGCAATTTCTTAGATGTAAAAATGAGATCTCAATAGCAGCGGGTTGGGCACATTCTCTCCCTCTTTCTCTGCCGGGAGCCAGCTTCCTTTTCTGGGCTGCAGGCTGGATCGCCAACTTCGCCTAGACCCGCAACAGCCACGAGATGGCGCACTTCCGATCAATGTCAAAGCCGCCAGGGAGCCGGGAACCCCAGCGAGATTCTTGGCCTTTGTTCGCTCCTGATACTAAGAGCAGCACGGTACCTTATTTCACTTGCCCGGCTCCCCTTCGTATTAAAAAATAGGGAACCTGGCGCTCAAGAAGTGATTGGAGTTGTAATTTAAAGCAAAGCGCCTTCACTAGGCCTCTCCACATCGCGGCGTGGAGAAGCTGCTGCCCTTTGGCAGTGATTTCAGAAATGAGTCAAGGTAAGTGGCCACAAGTTTATCAATTTCACTGTAGTGTGTGTGTGGGGGGGGGGGAGTGGGAACATAGCCGATGGCTAAGCAAAGCTCTAGGCCATGATTGAGTTTGTGGGGTGATGCGCGTTTGCCACCCCCTCCCCCGCGCTCCCTTTGGCTCTCTGTGGTTGGAAAGCGATGGGAGGCCTAAGTAGAAAAGTTGTCTGTGTTAGCTCCGTGC